AATACGATATTATTTTTATTACAGTACACAAATATTGTTATAAAAATATGAATGAACATTTAAAACGTAAACATTATTTTACGTATCATTGCCAAAGCTCCATGGTACGTAACGAATAAATTACTACACGATGACCTCCAAATCAAAACTGTCCAAGAAACAGCCACCAACTTCTATAAAAGATTTCATGTAGGGGTCGCGGTTGTGAACGGGTATTAGATACACGGGCACACGGAGCCCGGGTACCCGGGTAAAAAATATATTAAAGCCCGTGTATTTAATATCCGTGTATAATACCCGTGTATACCCGTGCATATATTGTATATTAATTCAGAATTCAGATATACTTTAATATAAATATTTTTTTTGCTAACTTTGCCTAACTCTTTATACGAGTCTTTATACGATTAAATAGCACAACAGGTTCATTATATTAATACTCATTTATTATAAGTTATTTTTATAGTTATTAGTTATGCTTAAAAATTAGTATGATGCATTCGTTTATCGTATAATGTTATATAGGCATAAACACTATAAGCTATAAGTATAATAATATACGTAAAAGAGAGTAATATTAAAAGTAAAACTGGTTTTAAGGTTGAAAAATAAATATTCGCAATGTTATCTTATCGCCAATTTTATTGCATTACATTTACGTACCTACTACCTATGTAGTATGTATGCTTTTTATCTAAATATTTTTGGTGATTTTAAAATTTCTCCATAGTCCATACTGGACTTTATTTTCCTGTGTTCACTTTTACTATACGTGTCACGTGAAGTGTAGGTCTTGATATTTATTTTGTATTATACATATTACATTTTCCAAAGAAAATGAGTTATCGATCTAAAAGTTGGGTATGGCAATACGGTAAACGCCAAGGCGATAAAGCTGCTTGTGATCTGTGTGACGATAGTTCAAATAAAGTGTTTTGTTGTGCTGGTGGATCAACGGGATCATTTGGCAGACATTTAAAACTCATACACAATATAAGCAAAAACACGCAAAATCAAAGGTATGTATAAATGCAATTCATTTATAATAATTCAAATAAAAAATGGACGGGATTGAAAATTTGAATAGCTTTAATTACACAATTATAAAATAAAATTAATTAATTAATTAAAAATTGGGTTATCTTGAAAAGCTTAATTTTATATAAAATATTCGTGTTAACGTATTATCGCATAGTGGTGAAATTTATAAATTTATAATAGTAAACAAAATAATAAACTAAATAATAGTAACTCGAAGTTGAGAGTTTTGTTTTGTTATTTGGTTTTATAAACACATGTAACATTATTATATGGTTTATATTTTTCTAATACGACACACACATTCGATCAGTCGTAACAATAATAATTAATAATAATTGTAAATTATATATATAAATTACAATATTATTTATAATGCGCCATATCTACATAATATATTATATTAATCGTATCATTCAATTACTATACCTATAAAATTGATTTATGTAATTGTTATTACTGTTATACTTTAATTTATTTCCTAGTGATGATAATCTTCATGAAGTGAAGAGTGTAGTATAGTTGATGGAGTAACACAGTGTTCATCGTCATCATCAACTAGTTTATTAAATACCGCTTGTTTATCCTCATCATCAGAATTTCGTGAACCGCCCCGTAAACGACGTAGAACATATATTGACAAGAACTTTGGAAAAAACCGAATTTGTAGTTCAGAAAGAACAGAAGAAATTCATCAAGCGTTAGCTAAAATGATCGCTATCAACCAAATGCCCTTAAGGTCGATTCACACATATCAGTCATGAGACGGTTCAGTTCCGAGATTTCGGGTCAGTCTCAGTCATAGAAAATAACGTTTCGCTAAATTCAGATCGCGTCATCCACACTCATCAGTTTTCTATCCGAATCCGATCCGTCAGTGTCCGTTCAGTCACAGATCCGAGAACTTTTGAATTCTCGCCAACGATATTTTTTGTTTTGACGGACGACAATTGTAGGTGAAATGGATGTCGAACATCTCATCGAATTTGTTCGACAGTACGAAGTGCTGTACGACCTATCAAATTCAAAATATATGGACACTTCATATAAAAACGAAATTTGGAGTAAAATTGCAGAACAATTGAAATCAGATGGTAAGTTATATTTAAAAAAAAAATGTTTATATTATATAAGTCGCATCCTCTTCATGAAACCTATAGGCTATAATATACCTATAACAATACAATACCTATACATTTAGAATTTTATTTATATTATATTATTTATATTTAAATTGGTTGTATAGTGTGCAATGTATACGAATAATATATGTAAACCTGAAACCATATTATATTATGACGACTGGACTGCGAACTGACAAACAATCTTGAATCTACGCATCGACATATTATTATTTTAATCTACACATGGGTATTTTATAAACGTTAAATTAACTGGCTATACCAAATATTTGACAAATATAAATATTAATAAAACCCAATCAAAATAATTTTATTTTAAATATAACATCAACAATGCACAGTCTTCAGGATTAATACAATTGTGTAAATATAAATTGTGTATTTAATTTTTTTTCTATATGATGTATAATATTATTATGATAAAAGTTATTTAATTTATTAAAATATAGTTGATAATAGCGCTTTTCAGTAAATAAAAAAACTTTTATTTTATTTTTTTTACAATATATCATACCTACTAAAATAATTAGATTCGATTTAATTAATTCTAAACTATTCCTTCTTGCCACGATACAGATCCAACCTCTGAATTAAAATAATCCTTGAATTTTTCTCTCACATGGAAGGCATCCTTTGTAGCATTACCACCTTGCATAGGTAAGTTTTCTAGTCCTCTATCATTAGGTCCATTACTGTAAGTTTCATTCCTTTCGTAATTGTAGGTGTTAGTATCGTATTTTTTAATAAAGTTATGCAATACACAGGTAGCCAGTATTATGCTATCTACATTTTTCGGCAAAGCTTGAATCCTCCTATTGTAAATTCTAAATTGTTGAGATAATATTCCAAATGTATTTTCAACCACTCTTCTAGCACGGCTTAAGCGGTAATTGAAAATACGTTTAGAAACATCCAAATCTTGTCGTGTGTAAATATGTTTTTAAGGGGAATGCTTCGTCTCCAACAATGACGTATGGAACTTCAATAGATGTGCTAGGTAACTTTACACTTCGTGGTATTCGTAGTTTATCTTGCTCAATAGCTTTACCTAAATTAGAATGTGTAAAAATTCCACCATCGCTACTTTTGCCGTATGCACCAACATCAACTGCAATAAAATTGTACTTAGCATCAACAAGAGCCATTAAGACGACTGAGAACGTCTTCTTGTAATTAAAGTACAACGATCCACTATTTGGAGGTGCTTGAATGTTAACATGCTTGCCATCCAAAGCGCCTACGTAATTCGGGAAGTTCCAAATTCTATTGTAGTCATTGGCAATAGATTTCCACATATCTTCCGTTGGATTAGGCATCATTTCAGCCAACAGATTGTCACATATAATCTTACAAGTATCGTTTACAATTGCTTGTACTGTGCTATGTCCCAAACGGTAACTGAAAGAAATTGTCTGTAGAGAATCCCCCGTCGCTAAATATCTAAAAAAAATTATTTAAATTACTAAATTTAAATTAACTAAATTAATTTGGTTTCCAATAACAGTTTAAATTTATTTTTTAATTATTTCATACTGTGTCACATAATAACTGAATCTACTACCTATTATAAAATGTTTTATTTATCAAATTACTATAAACAATCCTTGCTATCACAATTTAATGTTTTATAGATAATATGTAAACATTAAAATTAATATTTTTATT